GTTGATCTCTAGGTATGTAGAAAATCTAGGGGAAACAAAGGAGCTCTTTCTCTCTCTCTCTCTCTCTCTCTCTCTCTCTCTCTCTCTCTCTCTCTCTTTCTTTCTTTCTTTCTTTCTTTCTTTTTATTGGTCTATCTATCTATCGGTTTATATCCTGCCTTTTTTCTACAAAGGGCTCAAGGCAGCTTGCATCATTCTCCTCCTCCAACTTATCCCCACAACAACCACCCTGTGAGGCAGGTTGGGCTGAGAGTGTGTGACTGGCCCAAAGTCACCCAGTTGGCGCCATGGCTGAGCGGGGACTCGAACCCAGATCATCTGAGTCCCAGCCCCACGCTCTTAACCACGACACCACACAGACTTTCAGTGCCTGTTGGTGCAGGCAAACCGCAGTTGTAGAGTTATGTTAAAGGGTTCTCTACCATCAGAAACAGCCACAGTTGTGTCCTCCTTTCTGGTTTTCTACTGGAGGGGCTGGACGTGGTCCTAGCCTCTTTTTTATTGACCCTTTAGACCTGCGCCACCTTGATGTCCTAGAAGGGTACAGAGCACAGTGTACCTTGCAGGAAGGCCCACAATTTGCACCATAGACAAGCACCTTCATGTTGTGAAACTGGGGACTGGGCACATTCCATCACCAGGTCAGGAAAGCTGCAAGGGAGATGTCCCCATGGGAGCTCAGATGGCCCAAGGAGCCCAGGTCAGGAAAGGACAAACCCGCGATCAGCTGGTAGAACTCTGAGTCGTCTGTGGTAATTCCAGGAAGGTCTTCGCCTTGCACAGAGCCAAAACCGGCTCACCCGGCCCTGTGACTCTCAAGCATCCGGAAAAATGCAGTGGCTGAAATGCAGAAAGCTCAGGGCCAACAAGTGAAAATGTCACCATCAGCCAAAACGGTGGACATGCGATCAAAATAGCAGGACTTGACACTAAATATATGCCCCGTTGGCAAAATCGATGACATTTTAGAACGGGGGTCCATTTAAAGGCCAGAAAACAGGGAGCGAGGCAGGATTTCCAGGTGAAAGGATTCTGAAAGTGTGGGCCGCCACCCAACAGTCTCTGTCCATCGTATTGTCCAGCCACACCAGCCTTAGAGGTGGGTGAGAGAGCAGGGCCTCTGCAGGTGAACAGAGGCCTTGGGCAGGTTTGTATGTTTTTAGGCAGTCCTTGACATTACCTGTTCCCGACCTGCTTGGACCTTCTAAAGATCAATAGCAGCAATTTCAACTGAACCCAGGAAAAATGCAGTTGATGCAAATTAGTGTGGTATGGACCAAACTGTAAGCAGTCATTACTCTGGAATTTGCACCAGCCAGAGTGCCCAAGGGGACTGTTTTCCAAGGCACAGTCCATTCTGGACTTCTATTATAGTGTATCTGGCAGGTTACCCCCCGCAGGAGAGGCCAGCTGCCCAGGTCTGCTTTGTCCAGATGCAAATGAAAAGTCAGCTTTTCCTTCTGTGGAAGTTTCACTACATTCTTAAAGGGTGCAAATTACAGCATGTTTGCCTCAATCTCTGCAGTGAGGTTTTGGCGACATGTAAATTCTTGCAATCCATCGATTTATTAAATCGGTTCAAAAGCAGACAGTTAATCAACAACCAATTCTTTCCTTGTTTGACAGCTGCTGTCCTTTTTTTCTGTTTTACCTTTTTCCTACCTTCCTTTCTGCCACCTGCAGGGCTCAGATAACACACCTCTTGCGGGAGAAAAGGGGTGGGGGGTCGCACAGGGATTTGAAGGACAAAAGGCGAGGATGAGGAAGATGATGTGTGATTGGGGCCCTGAAGTCGTGATGCTGGCGCGTTGACATTGATCTGATAGCAGAAGATTAACTCTGCTGCTAGACAAGATGAAAGATGCTGAGGTCGGAAGGGAAAGAGCAGCTATTGATCCGGTGCTCAGAACTCTTATGATGCCGAGAGACGGAAAATGCCAAGATACTCCCCTCCCTCTCCTCCTCCCGGTATTCCTTATCTATTTGCATTGAAGTAAAACACATAGTGGGTAAATAAGGAAATCGGTGCAAATTTCAAAGGACAAGGGCATGGCTGGGATTTATGGGTTGCCCCGCTCAGTCTCAGTCTGTGCCTTTCCCAGCTTGGTTTCCTCCAGAAGCATTGCACTACAAATCCTATAATCCCCAGCCAGAATGGCCAAAAGTGGGACTCCTGGTTACCATGGGAAATTTAAAGTGGCAGCTTTAAAAAGAAAAAAAAAATCTATTAAGGGAGAAACTGTGGAAGGACACCAGCCTGCCTTCTGCTGGGTGGCACGAAGAACCCTCTGGTTGGAAGACCCCTTCCTGGTCTTGCGACCCCCATTTAGGCCGCCCCGTGTGTGACTTGGCTCACTTCGAGACGTGGCTTGTCCCCGTGGCCCTGTTGCCGTCTCCTGCTTGCTAAGAAACCTTTTTGTGGCTTCTGCTGAGCCGTGAGCAAAATGGATGGCCATGAGCAACCTCAGACTCTCTGACTGGGTACCGAGGTGGGTAGTGCCAACCTGGTTACATGAGGAAAGCGAGAGTAAAAGGGAGTGTCGTATTGTGTCTGTGTGGAAGGGGGATCACCTCCTTATAATCTTGCCTCAGTTCTCCTTTCAGTGCAATGGAGGGGGGGGTGTTGTTTCTGGGAGAGAAGAATGTGGTCCGAGAGGAGCATTTCTGTGTTGCTGGGTAGATCTCTCCACTCTAACCCTCTGCTTTAAAGGCACAATCTCACAATTAATTTGCCTCAGTTTGTCTTTTCTGTATAATGGTTTGCTGCTGGGGATTAAGCTGACTGTTTGGCTCTGTCTACCATCAGTTGCCCTGCTCTCTGTCCCAGGAGTCTCTTTGGGCACCAAGGAGTTCCAGTGATGCTGATGATGCTCCATTCTGTGATGTGGTGGTTGGGGTTAAGCCTGAATTTTATGAACCGTGGCAGCAGTTCATTGGATCAGACTATCCATTGGCCATGTTATTGACCCAAAACTCTGTCAGTGAAAACTGTGTTCTTCTGTGTTCCACTGAAAACAAGCAAGCAAGCTTTTTAGAGACCTGCAGCTTGGAATTTGAATTTGTACAAAGAACCCCACGAATGTACCCCCTGATCCACCACCCAAGCAGCACTGAATAAGTATTACTGATCTTAGTTTTAAAACACTCCTGTGTTTAGGCTTGGTAACAAGATGTGTCTGGACCTGCTGGGTTAAACACAGAAGAAAACTCTCTTAGCCGAACAGATTAATCCATCCTCCTCTCACCATTTTTCTCTCCCTCAAATTAGTGAATTCATAGACAATCTGCCTTGTGGCCCCAGCTGCCTCTTACACACACACACGTGGCTTAAGCCGTGGCCCTTTGGAAGTTTTGTCCATGTGGAAAAACCCCCAGTGCTGCATCGGTTGTACATGTCTACTCTGCAGAGAAGGGGTGCCAGCCTTGGGAAGCTGCCGGCCTGGCTGGGAACATCAGCCCCGTTCAGGCTGAGAAGCAGAAAAGCTCGGACCCCGGGGAGCTCACGTTGTCAGCTGTTCTTTGGGAAGGAAGCAGGGCTCTGGCAGGATCTCTAAAGGCTGTGAGAAGGGACAGTGTTGGCAGCTACTGTGGAAGGAAGAGCGCAAGAGCCGCTTCCTCCCGGTGCAGTGCTGCGGAGGAGGGCAGGGCACGTTCCCAGGGAGCCAAGGTCCAGGCAGATGCCAGGAGGCGCTTCCTGATGGTTAGGACCCCGAGGGTGTGGAATGGGCTTCCGTGGGAGGTCATTGCAGCCCCATCGGTGAGGGTGTTCAAGGATAAGCTGGACATGTGTATGGTAGGCAAGTCATGAGCAGAGCCGGCTGGAGCTGGGGGTCAGACTAGATGGCCTCGGAGACCCCTTCCGACTCACTCCGTTTCTCGGTTTCTGTGTTTCTCGTTGCCTTATGCAAGAGCTTCAACTGGATTTGCTGGTGCATTGGGCAAAGTATCCTGGACTGCTTTTGTGTCTTGTAAAAGCAGCTTGGGCTCAAGCCTGTAACCCTGGCCTTGGCGCACTCGGAAGTTTGAGTCCACCCATTGCATGGAGTGAGGGGCAGTGGGGCAAACTTGGCACCTCACGCCCGGCATTTCAGCTAGAGGTGAAAACGGCCGTTTGGATAGAGGGGCACCGAGCGAGAGGGAAGGAGGACCCCTGTCCCCCCACACAGTAGGTTGGGGGGCCGTCGCATGGCGCTCTGGGGGTATAAAAGAAGCAGCGAGACGGTCACAGCCTGGGGGCAGATATGTCCACTTAATGGTTTTGTTTGGGTGTCAAGCTGCCTCTGAAGCGGGGCGGACAAGCGGAGCCATTCAGAGATGCTGGCCTGCAGCTCCCATCAGCCTGCCTCTGGCCAGGGCTGATGGGAGCTGTAGGCCAAAATCCCAGGGGGGGTGGGCTGGAGGATACCCGCTCCGGTGGTAACAGTACCCAGATCCTGTGGCTGGTTGCAAAAGTGGCGCCCTTGGATCAGGCAGTTCGTCTCTGCACCGGCTTCTTCGGCAGCTGAGCTTCAATCCAGGCTGCGTCGTAAATAAATGCCATTCGAAGTGAAAATCTGATCCCATTTTCTCGACTCCGCGTGGCTCCCCGCGTGGTCTTTGTTCCTTCTAGAGCAGGGATTATTTCTTCAGAGATGACTGATGTCCTGCTATTCTTTGTAGCCTGTTTTTGTGGGGGTGGGGGGTGGGGGGGTGGCAGGGAGGAAAGGGAGAGAGAAATCTAAGCATCTGTGGGAAATGTGAGAGATGCTGTTCCTGAAGCCAGGAGCTGCATTTCAGACCACTGTGGGGCAGTGAAGAAGTTTCTCCCCCCACCTCGGGGATTTGCCCCCTGCCCTTGCAGGTATTAAAGTCCTTTGGGTGCCCTTGGGGAGTCACCTGCCCAATCTTCGTCACGGCGTGACTGTAAAGATAGCATGCCTATTTTATATATGTCTGCATAACATGGCACCTATTGATGACACTGGAAGCCAGACTATTTAGCAGGAGATATATTTTTTAAACTCTCCCAATTTAATTGAATTCCTCCACCTCAATTTATTTATGAGTATTCTTAATTCCATTTCTATTACTCTTAATTTCATTTCTATAGATATTTCTCTCTCTGTGCAGTTCACACACATTGCAGACCCCGACCGCCAAGATAATAAAACATGGTGCGAAATATGCACACAGTGCACAATTTTATCGGTGGAGCCATTTCCATAAGAAACGACGCCTGCCAAGGGGCCCCGACGCAGGCTATGAAACGCCTGGGAATAGAAGGTAGTTTAGGTGGCTCTGAAAAGAGAAGAGTGTTGACAACGGGTGGGCCTCCCTGGAGAGGCGGTTCCATTGTTGAATTCAGGGGGCCATCCTTGAGAAGGCCGCCTCGGAGGATGCACCTGGAGGAGGGCCCTCGGTGTTGCTTTTAAGAGTTCACGAGTTCATACATGCAGCCGTTTCCAGGGGGTGACCTGTTCATTTGTTCCTGCAGAAACAAACTCTTGCGCACCCTAAAAGCACGGTCCACAGAAGCTCGTGTTGGAACAGATGTGTGAGTCTGTAAGGCGTTTAGATGCTCAGCACTTACGAAGGACTTTTTGTTGTTTGTGAAGCTGTGTGCCTGTGTTGATGGCGATGGTGGTGGGGTTGGAATGCCGGGCAGGCTGCCTTGAGTCCCGTGACTGCCAGAAGAGCCCTGCAGGATCTGGCCCAGGGATCAACTCATGCAGCATTGTGTCCACCTGAGGGATCCACCAGGAAGACAGCTGTAGAGCTGCACTCCCCCACCCATGTTCCTCAGCAACGGGTGTACCCAGGCGTGCTACTCTGGACCTCTAGCAACCGGAAGCCTGTTCCTCTGTGGATTTCTCCAGTCCCCCTTTGAGGCCGGGTGGCCATGGCTACCTTGCGTGGGGGCGAATTCCACAGGGAAGGGTGGGATTGGAGCCGGCCCTTTCATGAGGCGCCATGTGGCAGTGGCCTCAGAGGGCAGATGCTGGGAATCAGTCCCACGGTCTTGGAGGAAAGCGCTGTGTGCACCCTGGAGCCCCCAGTGCAGGGAGGGTGGCTGACCTGTTGCTAGTCTTGAGGTAAGATCCAGCTGCCACGCCACACAGATTCAATGCAGGTGGAAGGTGCTGTTCACCTCAGGCTGCAGGCTGGTTCTAGGTGGAATAAAAGCGCTGCCAAGAAAAGTGTGCCTGAATCTTAGAATCATAGGAGAGTAGAGCTGCAAGAGGCCATGAAGGCCATCTAGTCCAGCCCCCAGCTGTTGCAGGACACCATGTTACACCATCCCACTCAGAGGGCTGCCCAGTTTCTCCTTGAATGCCTGCAGTGGGGGAGAGCCCCCCACCTCTCCAGGCAGCTGGTCCCACTGCCGTATTGCTCTGACAGTGAGGAAGCTCTTCCTGATGTCCAGCCTGGACCTGGGTGGTCGCAACTTGACTTGATTATTCCGTGTCCCACGCTCTGGCATCAGCAAGAAGAGCTCTCGACCTTCCTCTTTGTGGCAGCCTTTGAGACCTGGCTGCAAAGCTTGTTCAGAAGGACAACAGCATACATGGTGCTGCTCTGTGCTATCTTCACAGCAGCCCTGTGAGGTAGGCTAGGCTGAGGGGGAGTTAGCAGCAAAACCAAGCTCCCCGGTTAACTTCCTTGCTACATGGGGTTGGAGCCCAGCCTGGCCTTCTCTTCGCTAAGGCGGCTGGGCTCTCTGGACTATAGTTCCCAGAATCCTCGGCCACTGGCCATGCAAACTGGAGAAGATAGGCGGGGCTGTCCGGTATCCCTGAAGGGGACCAAGGGCCCCCCCAGCCCTCCTCTCCCCCCGCTCCCAAAATGGTGCCTCTGCCTGAAACTAGGCTCAGCTTGCCAGGAAGTCTGGAGCTGCTGGCAGTGTGATTTATGGTGCTGGATGGGAGCGCAGAACATGACCCAAATGTCAGAGGAGTAACTATACCCTCTCTTGAAGAGCTGTGTGGTCTCCGAGGTGAAGCCTGGGCAGAGGGGAGCTCCTCTTTCACGCCAGCGGCCATCCTTCTCCCGGGCCGCAGATGGAGCTGCCACGAGCCTGAGAGTGTGTGTGCGTGCGCGTGTGTGTGCATGTGTGTGTGTGGGGATTGCTGGCGTTGTGCCAGAAGGTCTCCAGTTCGAATTTTACCCCTGCCCAAAAGCTGCTAGGCAGGTATCTCAGAGACACCACCTGGGCAGCAAGTGACCCAGCGGCTGCTATGGTTGCTGTTGTGTTTATTACCCTTTCCCCCCACAATCTTGCCAGCCAGTACAGACAATACTGGTCTAAGAGGGAGCAAAGGTTCCCTATTGTCCTATTTAAATTAGCCTCGCTTCAGAACCATGAGGACTGGGATCTTAACCCTGTTTTTAGCAGCGACGTGCAAAGCAAGTGCAGCTGTGGAGCTGGCATGGAAGGGGGGGTTCTAGGGAGGAGTGAGGGGTCCCTGGGACGCGAATGTTGAAGCACACTCAGCATGCTGGGGCTCAGCCCCCTCCTCCGCCTGCGCTCAGTCTTTTGAGCATGTTCTTTGCCCCATTTCCCACGGCAACCATTTTGTGATGGTGCCAGGACAGGGCTCAAATACTGACATGCGCACACAGTCCCTTCACTTTCGCCTGGCATCAGGTACACACAGCGCTCCTTCCCAATATCCTTGAACATCACATGTGCTGCTTTTCCAGAGCGTTTCTGCAGAAATGCAAAATTCAGAGGACGTGTCATTATAAACACCCCTTCCCTAACATCTAACACCCTGTCCTCACACTGCTATAATGTGAACACTGTTTATATTGCTTTGAGATAATTAGAGCTGTCAACTAAGGTTTTTTTAATTGATTAACTGTCTTGCTTTAAGTCTTTTAATTAACAGCTTTAAAATAGTTGCAGCAGCATCTCACTTTGGGGAGTATTTTTCAGCAGAAATTAACATATTTGCATCACATTACGACACACGGAAAGACCATTCTTTCCTCAGATCAGCCTCTCCAAATATACACTCCCTAAACCCGGGCTGGATGCTATTTTTCGCACCGTGGGGAGATTTGGCACTGCCACAAAATGGCAGCCTTGATTGCTGTGATGATGGACGAGATACCTGCCCAAAACATGGAGTGCGAGAGAGAGGTGCAGCCGATGAATCCGGTTTCGGTACCAAGGGGAGCCCATTTCAAACCAGCTGCAGCTGCGGGGAAGAAACTGTGGAGGGGTAGGCAAGTTGGTGGATGCCAAGGAAGAGGCACTGTGGTCTTGGAGCCATGTTGGCTATCCGTAGCCCAGGTCAAGGGAGAAGCCATCTTGGCTTGAGAGGGGAAGTCCGTCAGTTCCCGCATGCCGATTCCCCAGTTGGAGCAAGAGGAGCTTGTAGAGATGTCATGCTCACAGGTCTGTGTGGATCCCTGCTTTTATAAGTGTGTGTGTGTTGGGGAGAAATCTGCATCAAAGCCACCCAGATTTGCTGGCAAGAAAAGCCGTATTCTGCAATCCACACAGATTAGGAGCATTTGACAAGCGTGCCTGATTTCTTTCATTTTGCATAATGTGCGTAATTTTGTTTTGGCTAAACATAGGGAGGAAAAAATGCAGATTTGGAGATCAGGCCGCCATCTTGGATGGGGCCAGAGGATGACATTGCATTTATATCTTGCTTTTTTCCTCTTGTGAGGCCCTCAAGGCAGTTTGCATAGCTTCATGTTATCTCCACAACAACAGCCCTGTGAGGTAGGCTGGGCTGAGAGTGAGTGACTGGCCCAAAGTCACCCAGCTGGCTCCATGGCTGAGTGGGGACCAGAACCCAGATCTCCGGGGTCCCAGTCCAACACTGCAACCGCCAGACCACACTACATTAAAAACACCAGTGTCCCCCCATCAGCCATGATCAAGCCCCTTGCAAGAGCTCCCCACTTCCCTTCCGTTAGCCCTGATCCTATATTATGCCCAGAGTATCTCCATATACGTAAGAGGCACGGCGTTGTGCCTCCTGGAGCTTATCCCTGTCCATGCTGGCCACACACCCTTGATTTACAGCGGGGCTTTAGGATCCTGAGACAGTTTTACCGGGAATCTTGTAAATCCACCTCCAAGAACCCTGCATCAGCAACACGCGCTTGGTGGATTCCGCCCTGCCTTCAGATACTGCTCCAGATGCGCCTCCCGCGCGCCCCGTCTTCCCTGCTAATCCCACACACTGTGTGGTCTTCCCCGTCCCGCTCGAGATTATGGGAAAGCAATAATGTAAGTTATGTTAATGCTCTGGTTACACATAACTCATCCATCACTGTCTTTCAACAGGCTTTCTGTTACATAACAGAGCTGCGCGTTTCCATTAACATCAATCTGCCAAACAATATAATGCGCAGAAATGTAGAGATTACCTAAAAGGGACATCACTGGTGTCCTTGATGTCCGTACATCCCACCTCCTCTTCACAGGCAGGCAGTACATCAGGCTGGGCAGGGGATGTTTTGCTCTCAGGCTGGGAGAAGAGGACCGGACGGACGGACGGACGGACAGATGGAAGCAAGGAGAGCGCCAAAGGGGGAAAGGGCAACGAATCCACCCTCCTAGCCCAGCTATTAGGAATGCGTCAACACACTTAAACCCACAGCTCTGACGCGGAAGCAGGCTGGAGGAGACTCTGCCGGCCATGCATTGCTCGTGTTCACGGTGGTGTCCAGGAAGCCGCATACGGCTGTAGCTTTCATTTCCCAAACTGAAGAATGTGCCACGATATCGTTTGGCAGGTTCCGGCGACAGTCACAAGAACATCCGAAGAGCTGTGTGGAACCAGGGGCACTGTAGGCAGGCCGCCATGGGATGTGGAGAACCTCAACACCCATGGAGCTTTCTGTGGATATGTTGAGACCGGGGGAGTTCCTATCGCACTCTTCACCCACTGGAAGATGCCAGTGGAGAAGCGCTTCTGTTCTCGTCTGGTGGACCCGTGGGGAGATGTCCCTTGGGAGCCTGGAAATAAGCCTGATTGAACTCAATGGGTTTACATCTGAGTAGACCAAACTAGGGCCACCCTCAGGCTCCCCAGGGATTCAGCACCTGCACTTTTTAATCATCAGGAGACACACGCCATCCTGTTCCACCAAATCCCCTGTTGCCTCTGAGCTGAGCGGCAGTCCCAACAAACTATTAATTTTGTTTTCATAATTAATTAATTAATTTGTGCTATGTTAGATATTTGTATTTTATTTGTGTAAGAGCCTCAGGACGGCATACAAATATCCTAAACAAACAAACAAACAAGCAAACTTTGGATGTGGAGCCATCAATACTCACCTTGTTCCAGGATTTGCAGAATATCACAGGTGTGTTTTCACTTATGTATTCTCCTGTATCTACTCACCCCAGGCCTCACATGCAAAATCCGAAATCACAGCGACCATAAAGATTCTTCCCGATTTATCTACACATTTTATAAATATCAGGTTATTGAAAAACAAAATTCTGCATTTGGATGTAATGCTTCACTTTTGCAAAAAAAATTAATTAAGCTCATTCAGTTTTCTTCAGTTTACTTCAAGTCCCCCCCTCGGTCTTTTTTTCTGTTGTTCTAATAGAATGTATTAATTTTGCCATAAAACCAAAATCTTATATTTTCATCCAAGTATTCATCTCTCAGGCATTGTTCACACGCTTCATTCTTTTGTACACCACATTCTATTCTTTGCTTTCATGTTCTCTAAAGTAAACCTTTTCAGGCCTAAGAAGGAAAAGTGCCTTTGACGGTTTTTAATTCAGAAACCAGCATGCCCCTCAGAAAGGTAGGACATTCTATCCGAACTGCCAAGTTTACCTTCTAATATCAGCTTTTCTGAACTTTGGGGTTCATTCCCTCTACTGGAGCAAAAATGCCACCATTTTTTAAAAAGCCATTTCAGGAGATGTGGCTGTGATATTTTTGTCTATACATATTTTTATATGTTCATGTGGTCATATTTTTGTTTATACATGAGAGCCAGTGTGGCATAGTGGTGAAGAGCATGGGGCTGGGACTCAGAGGATCTGGGTTCGAGTCCCCACTCGGCCATGGAGCCAACTGGGGGACTCTGATTTGCATGGAAAAATCTCCGACACTGAATAAGATTTCCAGAGGCTGTTGGGCCCTCAGTACCTTCATACCTTTTTGCCCCCCCCCCCCCGACACCATGCTGAGTAAACCCAGGACTAAATATGCAAACAAATGAATCATAAATTATGCAGATTTAGGGGAAATACACACAGCTGACTGATCTGTACAGGCTATGAAATCGAGTGTTTCTTAGCACAGAATTTGGATGATCTTTGGACAGCATTTTAGGGTTCGTTTGCTCGTGCCAGATGCCAATGTGGTGTAGTGGTGAAGAGCATGGGACTGGGACTCAGGTGATCTGGGTACTCTAATTTCACCCCAAATAAAACTGTCAAAAGGTTGTATGGCACAGAAGGATTATGTCAACAGTCTTCAAGGAAGCCACAAAATGACAGTGAGGGATTACTGCCAGTGAAGCCCTGGAATAGCTTGTGAATAAGGCCTCAGCCCTGAGACCAGTCTGGTTTCGATCAACCCATTATCCAGTGCACCACCTAAAATTAAGCTCAGGCTTTGCCAGTATCAACAAAGCCCTGTTTTGGTTTTATTTGTTTTCTGCAAGGGACCCATGTAAAGTCTGCGTCAGTGAAACTCAGTGTTGGCAACCTGACGCCATGTATCGGCCCTCCGATTTAGTACAAGGCGGAATCCTATGCTGCTAACACATCCTGCGCAAGACAGAGAAGTTCAGGAGCATTGCCCTGTGCATCTCACCCTCCTAACTGAGAAATGTCCTGATCACATGCCTTTCAACACAAGGCAGTGTCAAGACAATGCAGAGGAAGGGTAAGAGGAAAGCTAGTGCAGAGGGAAGGACACCTGGCACAGACAACCAGAGCCAGGGTGGTGTGGTGGTTAAGAGCACGGGACTGGGACTCAGGCGATCCGGGTTCGAGTCCCCGCTCAGCCATGGAGCCAACTGGGGGACTTTGGGCCAGTCACAGACTCTCAGCCCAACCTACCTCACAGGGTTGTTGTTGTGGGGCTAAGATGGAGGAGATGTAAGCTGCCTTGAGCCCTTTGTAGGAAAAAGGCAGGATATAAATTGGAAAATAAATAAGGTTAGGACATGCAGCGCTCAGGCAGTAGGCTCCCACTCACTGATCTGGGTCTGTGCCCCATGGGATCTGGTTGGACATACTTCAGCATAGACAGGTACCTGATGGTGCTAAAAAGGGGGAAATGATCCTTTTTTTTTCCTTGTGCTTTCTGGCAGGGACAAGGATTTGTGAGCTACACAGTCAGAAACGCCTCCTTCTCTTTATTTTTTTATCCCAGCAAATTTAATTAAAAGTTACTCAAATTATTTGATGAAAGAATTTCATCTGTCGGTGCCAGTGCACCGCTGAACATCCTACAAGCTGTGATGCTTTCAGCAAACGTAGGAATCTGCTTAGTTCTAAGTAAAGTAATTTATTCCCATTCTTGTGTTCAAATGAGAGGATGTTACCCCCTGCAGGAAATAATCTCTTTGTCTGAAATGTCACACACACACACATGTGGGGGTGCAAATATACATGGACCACAACAGGTACTTAAATGAACCCAATGTGTGCAGAAAAACAGATCCAAATCTAAGGTACTTTATGGACTGACTTATTAATATAACATTTGGAAGAAGAAATCTGTTATTCTTTCTAAAGCAAGAACACACAGCAAATCACTGACCAAGTCTTTGAGCAAACTTGAGGCACACCAGACAACAGAAACCTCGCATCATGTCCTATCCCCTCCTGCGGCAGCCATTTGGACCAATTCCATCTGCTCTATAGCTAACAAGCATAATAGGTCCTGACCGAGGAACTCTGGGAAGTGTAGTTCTGCTAAAGTTGACCAAGGTTCAGAACAAACAAAGGGAGGGTTCAGATTGCAAACCATTGTGTAGTATTGTGGCTATGAGCTTCAGACAACGTTGCTTCCCGCTCTCTTCTGTGGTTGTGAGAAGGAGCATTTGTCTTCTGTTAAACTCCTTGCAGTTGGTTGTTTCATTCAAAATAGGACAAACTGTGGATAGTTTTAAACCTGTGGTTTGTCTGAACAAACCATGATCAAGCCATCATTTCCAATACTTGGCTTGTTTGGATATAGTTAAATCGAACCATAGTTCCTGTATTGGATGAAACGAGAAACTAGGTTTAAAAATGTTAGTTTGCATTGGAAGAGGGCATCCAGGGCTCCTCAGACAGGGAAGGAGTACAAGCTTACATTTCAATTCCCCAGAATGCAGCAGTGGAACATTTATTGGATACACCAAGGTATTATGGGAAAAGATAAATGCTGACTCTTAATTTTGTGCTGCTGCCAGATGGGAGTTACTCTCCTCATTCTGCTAATGCTAATGCTGGATGGGCAAGGGTTCTTAAGAGTCTTTAAAATCTTTAAACAGCAGTTAGACCGGACAGACCTTCAAGGAGAAGGGGCTCCCCACTGAGGACACCTTACCCCAGAGCCCCCGCAAGCCTGGCGCTGGCTGTTTCCCTGGGAAACGGGGTTCTGCCCATTTTCTCCCTTCCACTTGAGTGTTTTCTTCTGCCCAGAAATTGAAATAATGGTCTGTCCTGGAGGAACCCAAATGGAAGTAAATGGTTTCTCCAGTTTTACTGCTTTCCTTTGTGTGTGTGGTTGTATCAGCCGTGCCTGTGTAACCCAATCGTAACAGCAAGCAACGCGGGTGCACGCATGCACACACACACACACACACACGTACACAAGCACATCCACAGTGCAGCCCTGTAATTAAATCTCTCCATTTACCCTCCCAGAGATATCTCTCCTTTTTGACACACACAGTAGAAATACAGTTGTTATAACATCAAATTGGAGGCTGCTGTAAGAAGGACTTTTAGCGTTGTCCGTCACTGCCTCTCCGTGTTGTCAAGGTAATAATAATGGAAAGGCAGAAGATGACATCTTGAGAGCTTTGCTAGTGCCTGATTAAAAATTGTGTGGGTTGCAGGGCTGGGGGCTGGGGGGAGACAGAGCTGAGGTTGCCAGCTGACCGGGAGGGAAAAGCAAAGCATCAGCATCGCATGTAGGTACAAAGCAAACAACTTAATCCCTGTATCTTTCTTACATATGTACGTATATCTCTACCTACTGATCTGTAAATAGATATGCATAGAGAAGGACTAGTTGCCAGGATGAGTTTTTGATAAAGCCACAGCATTCCTCTAAGTAGCATCTGAAGGCAAGCAAGAAGTGCTCTAGAAGCGTGAACAGAAAAATGGATCAGGGTTGGGACAACTGCTTAGGAATCATCAAAACGGAAGAAAAGCATCTCTCTAAAAAGACAGCAAAAGAGAATCATGGGAGGCGTAACATGTCATCTGTTCATTTCTGGGTATCGATGCAAATTTAGAAATAATTAGTAGCGTTTAGATAGAAGTTCAGCTCAGCGCCTGCAGAAGTCTGGGACCAAGGGAGGTTGTCTGGATGCTCACTTCAGGCGGGTAGAGAGCAGCTCTGATAGTTCTTTATCTCTGGAATGAGCCAGGAATGCCCTCTGGGTAGAGGAATGCACTTCCAAAATAGAGGACTGCCCTCTATAAAAGAAGACCCAGCCATGCTAGCTCTGGGGCCAGGGCTGGCAAATGGTAAATTGAATTCTCTGGGATGACTTGCAGGAGATCAGCAAGGTGTTTGAGTCCCACTGAACTGTCGCTCGAACCAAGAGGATTGCCCCTAAACCAGGCCATTAGAACCCTTCTCCCTAATCTGGAGTCATTTTATTTGTGTGTATTTTATCTTTGCTCATATGTATAAAGATGTGCATGTTTGCAGTGGAACAAAGGACCCCTGGACATTGTTTTACACAGAGCCACATCCTTTGGTTAGTATGGTGTTGATGGACTGGAACGATTTTTTCTCACTCTGCTGGGAGAAGGCAAGGGCTGAACCAGGGACCGCCTTCAGGAAGCTCTGGGCAGGCTCCACCACTGAGGAAGGGTCCCGTCCCATGGACAAGCCACTCCAGGCCATGTACTGAGTTCAACTTGTTCTGCCCCCTTATCGTATCTGACTTCACCCCAAGGTATGATGAATATGAATTAATATAATGTATTTCCACCATTATGCATCTGCACCCGGATGGTGGCCCTTTTAGTTCCACAGGAAGGGGCATGGCCCACTGGATTTGGCCCCCACACCCCCACTTGTCAGCCTCTGATGTATTGGGAGCTTGCCAGCCCTTGCTTCTGGGAGGCAGACACCATGAACGGCCGGAAAGCGTGGCCAGAGTAGTTCAGCAGGGATCCTGACTCTCATCTAGAATGTTCCAGTGGCCAAGAGAGGGAGGATGATGCTGAACTGCTACATCGGACAGGAGCACGTGGTCTGGGCATGCCCACCCGTCTGCACATCTTGACACCTGATTTTTTCAAGGCAGGAGGCGGAACAAGCACTGCTGAATTGTTCTCCTCTCCGTTTGCTCATGTCGATGTAAAACAGCTCTGACATTTCCAAATGGAGTAACCAGTCAGCCCTAATGGAAGGGACAATATATTTTGATGTTGTCATGTTAATTTCATTCTGAGTAGTTGGCTGGCACCCACATTTCCTTGCAAATCTAGTTATCTAACTTTAAAGGGAAAGCATGGCTCTTAATGGTCTGCAGGAAGAGTGTTCTGTGTGTATTTTTTCTTGCAGTGCAAATCGTGTGCAGTGAAGGGGGTGAGACGTCAACAGGCAGCAATGCCAGTTGACATGCAGAAATACGTGGCAACTGGTGCGAGGTTTGACTGCACCTCTTTGGGACAAGCGCTGTGCAGCTAGTAAACTTATATCACATCTGTCCGTGTGCCATTCTGGACTGGCACCATGTTGAATGAAAACTCAGGTGTACTGAAATAAAACCGAAGGATCTTATTTCTGGCAGAGCATGAGGAGCTGTTAAAAGCACAAGTGTCTCTAATAAATATTGCAGGGAGGTTCAAACCTCTTTAGCATGAGGATAGACCTGAATTTTGCAAACGTTTTTCTGCTGAGTGTTCTAGAGGTGTGTGGGGCTCAGGACCAAAGGGGTGGAGCCAAAAAATGGTGTTTTTAGCCAGGTAACCACACCGTAGGAGGGGCATTTCCGCTGTTTAGAATGGGGAGGGGGCACTGCAAGTGCTTCGCAGTTATGGGGGGAGGGAGCAGGGCCAAGAAAAGGGCATGGCCATCTGGAGAACCTGGGGGGCTGGATTTGTACTGCCGGCCTGAGCTTGAACGCCGCGATGGATATAATGTGCATGTGGGTGTGTGTGTGCTGAGGGTTATTCCTTGAGGCTGTTGCATAGCTGGCACCATTGAACAGTTTTGCATGCAATTTGTTTGTGGAACAAGGTGTGGCAACATGCACAGACCCAGGAGGCTTTGAAAGGGAAGCGGCAGATTAACGGAAGAGCATCGTGCGGCAGCGATCGCTCAGTGTAACATCTGTGACCACCCTGAGTGGGGTTTGCCCTGCAAGGCAGTGGGCATCTCTAAGGCAAAACCGTCAGGGAAAGCTTATGAAGAGCAGTAGACGGGCCGTGTTGGATCTGTCTGGGGTCCCATCTAGCCCACCGTTCGGTTCACTCAGCAGCCCACTAAGACCGGCGCCCAGAGTCTATTTCCGAGCCCTGAATCTCTAGCAGGCCGCGTGCTCCACGCCACTGCTGTCCAGGGGCGCTGTTGATCTCTGCTGGATTAGCGGGCTTTGTGCCCACAGGTGCTTCCTCTCCTGTTCCCCCTGGATCTTTTACCCAAATCCCTCCCAATCGAATGCCCTCCTCTTCCCTGTTCTCGGATCCCTCTTTGCAGAGAAGGCTGTCCTTCAAAGACAAGATGCACAAACACCCACCCTTTAGAACGCGGCTGCTTTCCCCCTTTTCCTTTGCCCTCCGGGCCTGAGTCCTGGATCATTTCTGTCCTTAGCATCACCCCATACCTGTGGGAGGCCCACGAGGGCGGGTGTTTCCCAACAACTGATGTGCTCGGACCGCCTGCCTCTTGTACTGGAGGAAGCCTTGAGCCATGAGGCCCAGCAGCCAGGGCTCGCCTTCTGCTTCAGGAATTTGCCCAAGCCTCTTTTGAAGCCGCCCGAGTTGGTGGCCGTGCATGACCTCCAGGAGGTGAATCCCACACGCTGCACGGTTTGCAAGCTGCTTCCTTCAATCCATCCTGCATCTCCCACCCACCCGCTTCAGGGGGTGACCCACGGGGTTCTCATCTCACGGGAAAGTGCTCATTGGGATCAGACATGCCTTCCCTTCCTGTGTTGGCACATGTGGTGCCACGCCGCAGCCCGGGCCCAGCTGCTAAAAAGCAGACCTGCATCCTCAGCGTGGGACTTGCTTCTGAGCGGGGCCAGGGACTCCCGTGCACCGGGCCACCTCCTCCGTTGCAGCCTCTCTGTGCGGCTTTACAGGGGCCCCCACGGTGCCGAGCTCTATCCCAAGCAGAGGCCCAACACCAAGGCGCCCTCCTGAAAAGCTCAGAATAAAAGCTGCAGTGGTGGGGGAGTCCCTCCGACGCAGGAATTGGTTGCTCTCCCTGCGAATGTACACAAGACACTCTCTTTAATTTCCTGGACTCATAGGGCAGTTCTCTACATGTCTACTCAAAAGTAACGCCCGTGCAGTTCAAAGGAACTTAATCCGATGGCTTGAAAGATACCCCGCTATCCGAGGGGGGCTGGTGACCCCTAAGTCAGTGGGGCTTCCCTTCCAGGGTTGCTTTCATCCTGAGCTTTACAGGAATTATCCACCGTGCCAAAATAGGTTCACCACCATCAGGAGTGTCCATGAAGCTCAAACTAAAAGCTGCCATGGCGGAAGAGTCCCACTGACAAAGAAAGACGTTGACTGCTTCTGAGAAAATGCTGTCCAACTCAGAGGATGAATCGATTAAAATGTATCTAATTGGATTGTAGCCGGCCTGTAACTAAAATCCACAGTGAAATAATAAATAAAATGAAACAGATGAAATAGCTCATCAGTGGTTGAAGATACGTCAATAAATAATCAGGACGTTCAGTCTATCGTGTTCATACCACACAGCAAGTGAGCGACTTAAAAGATCAATGAATTTGGACACCTCCCGATGAGTAAAGACTAAAGCTTTTGTTTTGCTTTTTATAGGGTTAGGTAGTTGCTGTTTTTCAAAGTTGGCTAAGCAGAAGCAGTGTGAGGATGAGAGAATGAAATTTATGAAATGTGGAGGGAAGGATTCGCCCCTTTCCCTGTGTCTTTTTCTCATCGTAATTCTTAATTATTGAACGAAGCTGATTGCTGGTTCTGAACAGACTGTGAAAAGGAAGAACTCTTTTTGTGCACAGCAGTTAATTAACTTCTGTAGTCTTGGTCTCCAGCTTGGATTGCTTTAAAAGGGGATTGGAGACATTCATGGGAGAGGAGGAAGCCTATTAGTCATGCTGGAGAAACGGAGCCTCCACAGTCAAAGGCAGTGTATCACGCACATGCATTGCTAGGACGTGTAGTCACTGACCGTGCTTAGTGCCAGAGTTTCACAGGGTTCAGGCATGAACAGAAAGCCAGGCTGTGATTGCACTGGGCCACAGCAGGGGTGCAACCAATTTGCCTCCAGGGCTACCAGAAAATACACCCTGGAGTAGAATGGCTGCTCCTGGCCACAGCGCCTGGTGTCCTGATGACTACCTCATGTTCAGCCTCCGGCTCCAAGACCTTGCTGCTCCCTGCCCGCCCACCTGCCCGCCTCTCACCCAGCTCCAGTGGGTTCCTGCTTCCATCCACATCTCCGCCCAGGTGCTGCCCTGCATTTATTTATTTATATTTATTAAAACATTTCTATGCTGCCCCTTGCCAAGGCCTCGGGGCGGCTTACAACATCAAATACAAAATACATTAAAACAATAACAATTAAAATATATACAGTAAAATAAAATAAGCCGCCCTGGCCGAATAAAATTCAATAATAGTAACATTTAAAATGCTGCTTAAATAAAAAGGTCTTTGCCTGGCGCCGAAAAACAAATAACCTTGCATCTCCCTGACCTCACCTTGTGCCCCAACGGGACTGTTCACTGGTTCCTGACCTTTGGCCTGCTCCCGTGTTTTTGCCCAGACCTTGTGGTCTTCCTTGGGTCTTGACCTCAGACTGTTCAACGACGTGTTTCCTACTTCTGGCCCCTGAAGCCTCCCTGAGCCTGCGCCCTGGCCCCGCGTCTTGGCTGTAGCTGCCTGCTGCCCACGTCCAGGGCCTTTCAGCAACGCCACGGGCTCTGGGCAGTCGGCCCCGGTAATGTTTCCTTACATGTAGATATGTTTCCCAGAGTCGGAAACAGGGCGGGGGACCTTTGCTCTGATCAGCTCTTTCGCTGTTTTCCTCCCATGGGGAAAGTCTCCCTCTGAGATGGCAAAGCGTATCCTACCCAATTAGGGCTGTTGATTTTGTCGGAGAGGATCTTACTCATGCCATAACTTCCCATTGAGTTGGGCAAGTTATATTTAGCAACCACGGCACTGTTCCCAATTTACTCCTTGGCATCCTTAAGGGAAGGAGCCAGAGGTGCCTGAACGGCAGTGCTGTCCAGCCAAGGGTCCAGCCACAGGTTCTGTCCAATCCTCTAGCAGAGTCCATGTGTACTGAGATGTCGGGGGGGGGGTGTTATTTTCTCTAAAAATGCTCCTCCACCTCGAAGGAAAAAAACCCACATTCAGTACATGGAAAACTCGTGCACTGCTGAGAGACATTCTAGCTAAGCTCTTTCCCTGCTGTGTCAGGTTTTTAGGTGAAGGAAAGATACCCATTTTATGGTGCATTTAAAAACCTGATCACCTCCCTACCCAGTGCCTGAATCGGCATAGTCCCAAGTCTAATTCAGAAGTCTCTGTGTGATTATTATTAATTTATGATGATAGTTTAATGGATGAACATACTACTTACCATTCTTGGGGGGGGGGGGAATCCATCTGCTGCTCCTTTGATCCCCTCTCTTTGGACATTTGAATGGGCTCTCCAGCTGCCAGAGAAGCGAAGAAAGCCGTGGGCACATTGGCGTATCCGGTGCCACTCCACACGGGTCGATATCCACGGTGGGGGAGCAAGCGCAGGAGAGACAGTGTTGGACCAGGGACCCGGGCGATCCGGGTTCTAGTCCCTCCTTGGGTGGCTTTGGGCCACTCCCCTACCTCACAGGGTCATTGTGAAGATCATATGGGGAGGATGGAGCCCACCTCACAGGAAGAGAGGCAGGTCATGAATCAAATATGCAGAAATAAATTTGGCACTCATGAAGTCCCAGCCCCCAGGTTTTGGAGGGCCTTGTGCTAGGCACCCTCCTTGCTCCCCACAGGGGGTTTGTGAGGGGGAGGCAAACCAACTGGGTATAATGGGGAAGCAGAGCAGCAAATCCTAGGCAGGGAGCCACTGTCAGTGGGCCCCTGCTGGGCTGTGGCCTCTCGGTGGCTGCCCGGCCATGCCTACCTATGTTTCTATGTTGTAAGCCGTCCTAAGAGGCAGAGGCTTGAGGGGACGGCATATAAAAGTTTAAAATACATACATACATACATGCATACATACATACCTGGGCACCTTCCAAAGCATAGGATAGACACATTTGCTGCATAACAGCAGACACCCTTGGGAAACTTGGGGTCCTCCCAGCCCCTTTCTCAGCTGGTCCATGCCTTGACCCCCTGGCTTGTGGGGGCAGTGATGGAGGCCGTGAGATGCACTGTGGGAAACCTGTAGGGCTGGCCACCCCCACTGGCATCCCATAGACTAGCGGACGTACCCCTAGCTGCACTGGGGCTCCTTTGGCCCAGGGCAGCCCTGGCCAGCTGCTTTGGGGACTCTCACTGGAAAGCAGGACACCCAATGAACCGTGAAACACACATGCCTCTTGCCACGATGGCAAGCTATACGCAGAGCAACCTTTTGGACCAGCCTCCCTTGGCGTGTGGGATGCAGTCGCGCAAGAAGGAGAGCTGGCTGATTGGCCTGCGTCATAAATCCCGCTGGCCAGGTTCTGTTAACTGCATGACCATCGCAGACCAGATCAGCTGCAGTTTCCTGGTAGTTAAGATGGTTCCAGGCTGGGGAAGACTTTAGGAGAATCAGTTGGACTGTGGTGATGGATAAATAGCTGTATACCCCATGGAACATGCGGGTGCAGGTGCATTTCCTTGGTCAAAGGCTTCTCTAAAGTAAACGTTAAACCCCTTCACACAGAAACAGAGCAGGGCAGGCATGAGGAATCTTCTTGATAAAGTATTTTTCTGGGTGTGGGGGAATTTGCATGACAAGAGAGCCGTGTGGCAAGGTGGTCTGAGTGTTGGACTGGGGGCCTGGGTGGTAGAAGGTGACTTTGGCCCAGTCACTCGCTTTCAGCCTAACCTACCTCACAGGATTGTTGTTGAGAAGGTAACATGGGGTGGAAGATGTCTATGCAAGCTGCTTTGGGTTCCTCCCAAGAGGAGAAAAAGGTGGGATATGAAAGCAGTGCTGAAAAAGAGAATTGAGTCATGTGCACCCTTGGCTGCTTGAAACGACACAGCCTGTACACAAGGTTTCCACCTCAATGAGAGCTAGGCCCTTGACTCTTAGGTAGATTGAGCCTCTGCTATTTCGAGTGTCTTCAGGTTGCCTCATTTTACCTGTGCTTTTACTTCTTTTTCAGAGCTATTTCCAGATGTGTTTGCACTGTAATTTTGGATATTTTGTTCTTAAGCTGCTTTGAGAAACCATGTATTTATAGCGTTTTTACTGTGCTCTTTAACCAGAGAAGGATTCCAGAACAGCTTCCAAAGATAACAAATGTCAGCCGCTGTCCCCAGGCTTGATTTAAAAGACATGACACAAAAGAGAAAGGGTGTGAAAGGAGGAAGGGACCAGTTCCTCATTGCAATGCTCTTGTAGGTGCTCTTTCTGACCAGGAAGGGAAAAATCAGCTGTTTACAAGTGTTCCTTCTCTGGCCAAGGTGTGGGGCCAGGTTGGTCTCCCCTTTGCTGTGGGGGGAGGCAAAGATTGCTAATCAGTTATATCTGGGGAGACAGAAATAAGATACCTCCAGGAACCAACTTGTGAGATTGTATAATTGATAGATTTCTTGTTGCCCAGTAAAAACGTGTCTAGGCTGGCTTCGCTTTCTCTTTCTACTCCCCAACCTTCTTAGGCAGTTGTGCAACTGGAAGGGACTGTCTGCAGCAGCGGTTTCCACATGGGAATCCAGCAAGGTTACCAAACAAGCAGGTCGTTTCTCAGACAATCAGGTGCTTGTTGACTTAGGGAAGACTTCCTCAGGCCCACTTATTTTGACAAATGTTAGCTCTGATTTCTTGTTGTCATTTTAAAAATGTCAGTTCTGGAATTTAACTTTGGAAAGAAATTCTCGCTGTTTCCCAGAGCATTCAAGTATGAGGCCTTTTTCACAGATATTGCAAATCTGCCAATATTGCAAATCTCAATTTTCCAGTTCAGAGAGGGAAAGAGAGAGAGAGAGGGAGAGGGAGATCTACTTGGAGAAAAGAGTAGTGGATTGACCAGATAAATTTTTAAAAAGGCACAGCTAAAGCACAGGGTGACAAAGAGTTGCGAGAGAAGTTGTCAGCTTTCTGTGTTCATACATGTGGGTCTCCTGCCAAACCCAGCTCTTCAGTATCTCCTTGAAAAGCCCCTTCCCACGAAACCCCTTCAAATGGCAAGCAGAGTTGCAAATGCTTTCCGTGTGAGGGAAAATCAGTTTTGTATGCAGATTAAAATACACGGTGCTACTGTGGAATGAAAAATCTTGGAACCCAGCTGTCTCCGTCATCCCAGCTCTCTTTCTTGCTCTCCTCCCCTCTTTCCCAGGAAGTCTCCCCCTTACTTTAAGGGACAAGTGTCTGCAGAAAACAAAAGCACTCTTTCAAAAGCCTTTAGGCTCAAAGGTAGGACTCTGATGTCCCTGAAAACTGGGAATACAGGCATAGTCATTCCTAGCGATAAATGCAGGTAGTGGGTGTCCCCAGGACTGCAGCCAAAATGGGTCTCCTGAGAAACAAGCCAGAGGTGCCTTTCTCCATCTGTATCTGTTTCGCAAGTCAGCTCTAGTGACAAGGAAAAGAACCTGTGGCAAAGCATTGCCATTCTGAGAGCTGCAGCTTGCAAACATGGCACGATCTGCCACAGAATCGCCGTTTAATCTGGTAGTCTTTGAATCAAGGGGAAACCTTTCAGTTTATACCCTGGTGTCGCAAACCGCAATTCTTTCTTCGAGCATTCAAAAGCCAGAGGCTGTGTTCCTTGCAAAGTGTACTTTATTGACTCCAAAGCACACAAACACCCAGAAGGGATCTCTGAGCATGCACAGAGTGGTTTGTTGAAGCCAATCTAGTATTCACCTCCGGGAACGCTCCTTATGAGTGTGCCTGAGCACCATCCCTTCCGGCGAGGCCTTCTGAAAGTGACCACCGCTCCTTCCTGCATGCCAGTCCTCTAATTGGCCACCTGCTCTGCTGCCTGCCCACCTGGACTGTCTGACCTTGAGATAAGTGCATCCACTTCCCTCGTCTCGGCGTCTTGGCATGGCCTATCTTCCCCAGCTCCCCTTCCATCTGGTTCACATTCTGATTCTGATTCTTCGGACCTCCAGCAGGCAGTCCTTGAGAACAAGCTCCCAAAGCAGTCACCCTTCCCACCCTCAGCAACTGGTCACATTCACACAACATGATAGCACACACTCAAGGGCCAAGGAAGGGTTGAATATGACTTGCTGTTGAACCAGAGGTTGTTGCTGAAATTCAGGTTATCCTGTTGTCTGAACCTACCCATCCTAACAAACCATGGTTTATTAGTCACGAGCAACCCACAGTTCACAACCCAACTACAAACCCATGGGTTCTCTTCATGGGTTGTTTGTGATGAACAAACCATGGTTTGTTAGTGTGGCTGGGTTCAGACAGCTTAACAACAACCTACAGTTCAAGGAAAACCCACACTCAGCCCTTGAGTGTTATTGTGTTGTCTGAACCCAGCTGTTGACTCCAGTGGACCTGAACTTGGAGGATAATGTGTGTTTGCATTGCACCGTCCAACAGAGCTGGCAATGAGGGGACCAGAGCTCCATGGCGATGCCCTCGTCTGTTGCAGAAGGTCCCGGGTTCCAGTGCTCCATCTTGGCATCCCACGGGGAAAGCCCTCTTTCCTTGGCCTTCGTCAGCAGCATAAAAAGCTGCAAAGAATGGGAAATGCCTCTCAAGGTGCAAGGCATTCTCCCTGTGTAAGGAGCAATTAACTCACCTCCTGGGGAGGCCAGGTGTGTGCATCTGTTCTCGGCAAGCCCATGCCAGTGACCGAGGCAGGTGCAACAGGTAGTGCCGCTCTCAGGGTAGGCAGTTTGCTCCTTGTTCTCAGTGCAGCGACAAGCCTTGCAACAGGGACACTGGCATCTCGGAGGGGGCTTGTGGGTGGAAAGGGTTACGGGTGGGGTCTTCCCTGCCACCCCTCTAATGGCCAGGGAAGGCGTCGTGAGCCGGACCAGGTGGCCTGCAGAGCTCATGGAAGCCTGGCTGGGCTCTGTGCAGCTGAGCTGAACACCTAGCCTGGCCCACCTGTTGACTCCGATCACCGGCTTGGCATGGGCCGCATCTCCTCCTCTGTCTCTCGGCTTGCCGTCTGCCTGCTTTGCAACCGGACTCCCATCAACAGCTGATCTCGGACCTTGGCCAAGGCCTGACAGGAGAGGACAAACTTTGACCCAGTTGGGTCTGGCTGGAAAAAAGGCAGGCCGAGAGCAATTAATCATGCAGAGCGCAAGCCATCAGCCTCTTCTGTTGGCAGGCACTTGGTGGAGGTAGTATTTTTCTGGCTGCGTTTACAGATTGCTGGCTTGGACACTGAAGCATCAGCAACCGGCAGTGCTAATCGGATTCTAATCAGCAGCTCCCTGGAGTTGTACTCCCGAGGAAGCTAAGCAAGGGTTGGTTTGGTGGCAGCCGCTGTTTTTACCTTGGGACACAGGTGTCTGACACAGCAAGCTTTGAGAATCGCACCGCTCCTGGCAAAACTGAGTCTCCCCCTCTATCAAAATAGTTATGCGTCACACACGCCCTGGATGCTGGGCCCAGTCAAAGGACAGCTCGATGGGTGACTTGTGCGAGGGAGGGCTTGTCTCCTTCCCACCCGTATCTCTCAACACCCCATTTCCCCCCTCTTCGAGAAAACAGCCGTGGCTCGACTCCGAAGCCAAGGCAAGTGGGAACACCTTTTCGAAAGGGCGGCCTTGGCGGGGTTGATGGCTCTCCCACATTGGAGGCGCCCAAGAGGCAGTCAGACGGTCATCCTGCATTCAGCAGCGGGTGGACTTGGTTGTGCGATTCTGTGTAGGGACTCTGTGTGTGGGGAAGAGCAGAAAAGTGTTCTAAGTCAGAGCAAGTGATGGAGCCATGGATTGACCCTCTGGAAAGGCCCAGTGCAAAGTCAAACACCCCTCCTTGAGTTTTTTTTACTGGACTTGGTCCCTGATTTATTATGATGGCTATATTCCATTTATTCCCCATGTTCCTTCCCCTTGCAAGGAACCCAAAGCAGCTGACAAGGTTCCCCTTCTCCCATTGCATCCTCACAACAACCCTGTGAGGTAGGTTAGGCTGAGAGTTTGTGACTGTCCCAAAGTCACCCAGTGAGTTGCATGGCTGAGTGGGGACTCGAACCCAGATCCTGAGTCCCAGTCCAACACTCTAACCCTGAGGCCATACTGGTTGTCATAATTAAATTTAATTACAGGATGGTGTATAGGCTACTTCTACAGCGGTGCACTTAGGTAATATTCAAGTCTCCAAATTTAATGGTCTTATGCTCATCCATTCTATAAAAATGACTTACCACCCCCTTTTAATGATCTTCATGCATATTACTTCACTTGCATTAAACTTCAGGAAGCCCAGTTCGGGGTCCTCCTGCTCATTCTGCTCAGCGGTTCCATGGCCACGTGCTCCAAAGTTCTGCCCCGACGGTACCACCATTCTTCTGGCTGCCTGTTCGTGGCGGCGCTTCAGTCCCTTGCCCCAGTTTAGGCTCGTTCTTCGGATGCGAGCAGCAGGCCACACTCCTTCCCGTGCTTGTGGGCTTTGAAACAGATTTTCAGAAATGCTGCTTGGGGGAGCTGCTGGTTCTTGTGCACGGTGGAATTGGGGAAGAGAAGAAAACCTGCCCCGATGCTTGAACAAGCTCCTCGTGCGAGGCTCCTCAGCGTCTGTGGCGCCCACTTTACGAAGTACGTGGCAAATCCGCCCAGCCATTAGACTTTGCCAGAACGGCCCTGGCTGTGGAGAACTCAAGTTGGAGCACGAAAGCTTGATCGATCAATATGCAAACGGCATCCGGGTATGCATTGGTATGCATCTCTCTTATGCAGTTTTTCATGCGTTCGTTTCCGTTTAATCAGATAGGCCACAGTCCTCGGTCCAAAGACCCTCCATTAAAGAGCAACCTCCCTGCCGTCCCGCCATGGCAACCAGTTCCCAAGCTGATGCTGACAGTGCAAGCAGAACCCAGAGAGCTAATGATGCGTTTGGACAATCTTGTACCCTGGACTTAAGTGTCTCTGGGGGAAATTTTAAACGTAACACTCACTTCTTCCCGTATCTCCTAATTTCTCGCTGTCCTCTTATTGATCCGGCTTGGCCACAAAGGTCAGAGAGAGAGAGGATAACTAATCGTGGCACTTTAGAGGGCTGCTGTGGTCCTTAAACATTTCCCCCCCGAGTTTAGTCCTTGACTAGGGTGTAGGTAGCCTTTAGAAGACATTTTAGAAGAGCAGAAAGCCAAGCCATTCCAAGCCGCCAGTTCCCTTATCACATCTAGTAATCATGAAACTTTCAGGCCAAGAACAACAAACCTGGTTGTCTGTCTTGCGTAACACTGGATCCACTTGAAATGCTGAGCATCTTCTAAGGAACAGGAGAGATAGCATGGAGATTTAATCCCATTAATGAGTAAATACCTATCCATTCCCCATGTTGGCTAGTAATTCTTTGCGGCCTTGTTTGGGCTTTGTTTTAGACGCAGTTTATATATGAAATGGTCTTCGGAGCTCTTCTTGGTGCCAGGCCCAATCTCCGAAATAGGCTCAGCACATGCATTATTACATAGCTGCATTTCATCCTCGCAACAACAACCCTGTGAGGTGTGTTAAGCTGAGAGCGAGCAATTGGCTCAAAGTCACCCAGTAAGTTTTGTGGCTGAGTGGGGTCTTAAACCCAACTCCCTTGGGTTCCCAGTTCAACCACCATACCACACTGGTTCTCCTTTGAATAATATACGTTCTGGCTGAAACCCAGAGTGGATACACTGCTGGAGACAAGATAAAGGTAAAGGAAAAGGTTTCCCCTTGACGTTACGTCCAGTCATGCCCGTCTCTCGGGGGCAGTGCTCATCTCCGTTTCCTAGCCGAGGGAGCCAGCGTTTGTCCGCAGACAGTCTCCGTGGTCGTGTGGCCGGCATGACTAAAAACTAAAGTGCGCGGAACGCTGTTACCTGCCCACCCAAGTGGTACCTTTTCATCTACTTGCATTTGCATGCTTTCGAACTGCAAGGCTGGCAGGAGCTGGGACGGAGCAACGGGAACTCACCCCGTTGTGCAGATTCGAACCGGCGACCTTTTGATCAACCAGCACAGCGGATTAAGCCACTGCGCCACCTGCAGTTCTGAAGACATGATAGAGGGGTACAAAATTGGGCATGGTATGGAACAAGTGCAGGGGCGGGGGGGGGAGGGAGGGAGAGTTTTCTCCCTCCCTTCTACTATTGCAGTCCAGAGGCCTTTCATGGGGTTGAACGAACGGTGGGAGAGTCCAGACAGATAACAGGAAAGTCTTCCTGATGCAGTGTTGGCACTCACTTCGGCAAGATGTCGCGATGGCAACCACTTCAAACAGCTTTGAAAGGGGCCTGGGCAAATCCCTGGAGGAGAAGGTTATCAAGAGCTACTAGTCCTCATGGCTGCATGCTAGCTCTTGATCTGGGGTGCTATGGCTGTGTACACCAGTTGGCGCGGAACACGGGCAGGAAGGTTGCGTTGGAATCTTGCTGGCAGCTGGCTGGCCGCTGAGAGGGCAGAAGGCCAGATGGGCCTCTTCTGGATTTAAGGAATTCCCACCCTGGGCCCTCACTCCTGCAGATGGGACATGCAGCGCGGAGCTCTTCCCAACCTCCTGGCCTGGAGATCATTTCTGCCCCGACCAGCAGACACCGGATGGTGTGTGTGTCCTGCAGCATGTGCAGGACAGATATTAACCACAGCAATGATTAACTTTCCCAAAGCGACAAATGTTTACAGCTTTGCTTCGATTTTCAGATGATTTGGCCAGCCATTGGGAGAGGACGACTTTGCTGGAATCAGCCACATGTCAAGACTCTGTATGTGTGCAGAATATTGTTTAAAGTACACAATGCTCTTTTTTACAAAAATAAATAAAAACCTTCGCATGTGAGTATTGTTGCTGCCAGATGTTGCTTATTTCAAAAGATGGATGCATTTGCTCACATTCAGCCCTTGCGTTGCCCAGTATTCCCACTATCAAGTTTCCTTGCTGCCGAATTTAGATCAAGAGCTTCGTGAAGGCAGATCTCTCTCTCTCTCCCCCCCCCCCAACTGTTAAATAGCACCTACAATGTATTTATCGCATTGGGTATCCTGGCTTTTTTCCAAGGAACCGTGCAGTTGGGTGGGTATCCGGTATTTTATCCACACAGTGGCTCTGTGAAGTAGGAGCACTGAGAGCGAGGAGGATGCCCAAGCTAGCTGGCAGCCTTCTTTCCCATCCGGCCTGCCAGATGACCATGCTGGCTAGAGGTGATAGGAGTTGTAGTCCAACACAGGGGGGCAGGATCAGGTTGGGGAGGCACCATGACGCTACAGGCTGGGACAGTTCTGTGTGGGACGCAGAATAGCGAGTCTCTGTTCTTCTTCCAACAGAGCCACCCCAGTGCATCCTCCCTATAGGCAGGCTGGAGGTGCAGAACCTCTGTCAGTCCGAGGGCCAAATTCCATCTTGCAGCAGCCCTCGGGGGCCACATTTCGCTGCTGGGCGGGCCCAAGGACAAAGGGGTGGAGCAAAAATACCAACAAAATTTCACATTAGCCTTTTACTCTGGTAACTGAGCCTTAGGAGAGGCATTTCTCCCTCTTCGAATGGGGGAAAAGATTTCCTGAAAGTCGGGAAACTGGTAGACCCTAATTGTTTGGGGAAAGAAAGGTGAGCAAGAGGAAGGGGCTTGTAACCGGCTGGGACCTTAGGAGGGACAGATGTTGCCCTTGGGTCTGTACCTCTGCACACCTGTCCTAGTGGGGAGCACTCCTGTGTGTCCCATCCAGTATCTGAGGTCACAGGAGACCTGGGAGTCCCCCGGCTATCAGAAATGGCATTCTGCACACTCCCCTTTGTAGCTGGCATGGAAAGGACCATAGTAGTGGCTACTAAGGACAGACTCTCATCCTTGAAGAGGAGGAAAAGGGGCGTTTTGGTGGGAAGGGAGGAGATGAGGCAGTCAGGGTACAAGTTATCCTGAGACCTACCCAGCCTCCTTCTCTCTCTGAAATATGATTGCTAAGCAGGCAAAAAAAGCTCATCTCCGAGATTAAATCAACCCAGAGCTTTCCCGAGCAGCAAAAATGACAAAACCGAGGCGGTCATGCATTGGATTCATTGTGAGGAGGTGAGGCTCCCTGGAGAAGACCACCCTGCTGGGGAAAGCTGCAGGCAGGCGGCAGAAAGGGAAGCCCAAACAGGGGATGGATGGCCTCCATCAAGGAAGCCATGGCCAAGCATTTAGGACAGCTAAGCAGTGATGTCACGGACGGACATTATGGCAGGTTCTCCTTCATAGGGTAGCCATAAGCCGCAGATGACTCGATGGCTCATAGCAGCAGCAGCAAAACAAAACAAAAATCCAGACAGTGTGAGAGGAGAGAGAAGGGAAGATTGCCAGGTTTTATCTCACCTTGCATACAATGTTCCTAAGTCTCCGAGTCCAGGGATTGTGCCCTTCCTGGCTTTACAAAGCTGCAACAGCTTTCCAGTCGAAAAGCCAAAGCAAACCTCAGCTGGTATGCATTTTAGAAGGCACTTGGATCTAGGTTTACATATTTGAGGCTTGTTTGCAAGTTCTCTAATCAACCAGTGCCTTGCGGGGATAGGTTCGACCCTCCCCCCCCCCCCCCCTTTTTAAATAATACCCTTCCCTTTTGAAACTGGCTTTTCTTTCAAAGCATTCATCAAGCCAGGGCGAAATCAGCACATCCCCCTCAAGTGCATGCACAGTTTTTAAACAACACAGATTTCAGTGTTGTTACAACCGGTTGGCTGCCTTCTCCTTCACTGTGCGTCTTTCACTGCTGCCTTGAAAAATGGCGCATTAACAATGCAACGAAAAGTGCTCAGCCAGCACACTCGGTCTCTAATTCTGGAACTGTGACTGCAGTTTCTCTCTCTCCCCCTCCTCTGTTTTCCCATCCCTCCCCAGGGATCCATAGCTGGAAAAGCAAACTCTGTACCAGATGCATGGCAGCCTGGGTGCTGTGCGAAACACAGGGTGTAGCAGCTCCGTATTTTAAAGAAATCGGCTCTGATTTGGGGGCAGACAACTAGAGATAGAAGGTGGGTGTGGAAGAGAAGCAGAGACAGATATTAAAATGATACCAAGGGGAAGCATGCAGAAAAGATTCTAAGGTTAGGTTGACTTTAATACCTATTCTGTGGTGTGGTTTTCCTCTTCCCTGGCATACTGAAGTTGGTTTGGAACTGAAATAGGGGAGAGAGACAATGTCCTTAATAGAGTGTATGACCATTCGCTGCGGATCCGTTTCCTATTTCTTTGGTTTGTCAGTTCTGTGCTCACTGGATCAGCTGGTGGAGGGATTTGGTTTTAATAATGAAGTTGTGGTCTATTTTTACACATTTCAGAAATGCTCCAAGCCAAGTTGTTTGAGACAAGCTTGATTCTTAACTAGGGCAGAGAAATCTTTTATCAAAAATGTGAAGGAAAAAACAGCAACCCAATCCCCGCCCTGCCAAAAGTGTTAAACTGTGATGGTTGGTAAAGCAACACTCTTTATGAAATAGTTAAATATTCTAAAATGATAGATTGTTGATTTCATAAATGAGCTGAGAATTGTCAAGCCCTCTGCAAACCGAAACAGTTTTTCAAATAGATATAATTAATATAGTACAGTTGCTTCAAATGTGACTTTCTAGAATAAGGGGCAGCTTTGAGAGAGAGGTTTCTTTGCAGGACACAAGTGTGGCTGTTTTCTCAGGGTGGTACCTGCCAGAGGCATAGGACTACAGTCCCCATTATCCCCAACCGGCACAATTATGCTTGTGGGGTGACTATTTTACACCTACCCCAAGTATTCACACTGTGTAAATGCATCAAGGAAGCAAGCACATGGCAGAGTCTCGAGCAACAAAGCTTCAGCGAGGCCTCTTCCCAGACACGCCGGGAAACTTTCCAACCTGGGAAAGCGCATGGCACCGATCCATGAATGCTGATAAGGAGCTGAACTCACGAAGCAGTGTAGCCGCTCTCAGCTTTGCTGGCTGATCTACCCACAAGAAAGAGGGCCTGGGAGTTGAGAAAGTATAGCTAGAGGAGGCCAGTGTGGTGAACATGAGAGCAGGACCGGGACTCGGGCAACCTGGGTTCGAGTCCCCGCTCAGCCACGGAGCCAACTGGGTGATGCTGGGCCAGTCACAGATTCTTGGCCCAGCCTACCTCACAGGGTTGTGGTGTGGGGAGAAGGTGGAGCGTAAGAGGAGAATGATGTCCGCTGCCTCGAGTTCCTTGAAAGGAAAAAAGGAAGGCTATAAATATTATAAACAGCATCGGCCTTGCCCAGGAGTTCTGATTCAGTGCTGCAGTCTAGCTCCTCTTCACAGGAGCCCTTTCT